GGTTTGTTATGCCATAACAAGGCTAAAATTCTTCTTATATTTTTTGAAGTTTTAGTAATTGATTGCAGAATTAATTGCACATCACCTGCTATTTTATTTAACTTATAGCGGCACTCTAAAGGTACATTGATAATTTGATGCTAACTAACACATGATAGGACAAAACAATTTGCGTTCCTCAAGATATTTTTGGTTATAATATCAAAACTCCTTGATGGATGTCAAAGTACAATTCTATATACTATATTCCTGGGATAAAATACTGAGAAAACATCCTACATATAGAGAAAGATGAATAAATTATATAGAAAACAATTAAATGAAATACTCCACATAAAAAGTTATTAGTATCTTAGCATATAAATCTTCTTTACTACATATTTAGAATTTATTTTATGTACATATCAATCTGTATTGCAATATATTTCAATAGACTTTAACATACAGATCAGTACTACAATGTTTTTCTAGTCTTTCCATTTCAGAGATTATTATATTGTATTTTCAAACTGTAAATGAAATTGCATTTACTGGGCTTTATTAATTAGTTAAAAATGAAGCAGATGGCTACATGTAATCTATTCGTCCATATGATGGACATTGCATGATTTTGCATACTGTGACACTGTCATAAAAAAGGTTAAACTTTCATTTTTCAATGAAAAAGGGGGGGGGGTTAAATATGTAGCATCCTGACTTCACATGATTTTATATGGTATCCATATGAAGTTATAAACAACAGATCATGTCTGTCACTGCTGAGTATGCTCTAGCAATCACAGATCTTACAATTTTGACTTTGCCATAATGCCAAAAAAAGGGATTCAAGACACAAATATCCTCATTTTTTTAGATGTCCATTATCCAGTCAACATCAAATGACAACATACATTGTCTACATGTCATGACACACCATAAAGCAGACCTGACATTTTTCAGCCTGACATTTACCGTGGAACTATGGCACAGATGCTATAAAAAGGATGATTTTTTTCTTTCACTTCTTTTATGTATTTGTTTGTTTCATTTATTAATAGCTGTAAAAATGTGTCCAGTTTTAAAAATGTGGTGACCTGCCTTATGACCATTACAACTTAACAACTGTAGTGGGCAGGTTCCATTATGGCCATATGTCATGGACTACCCATATTTTCTCTAAGCAGTGAATTGAACTTCAATTACATAATCAGAAAAATATGATTTCTTCCATATTTGTACATTGCATTCATTCATTCATTCCTCACACTTCTAAACTGCCCATCTCACTTAAGTGACTCTGAGCTACTTACAAGAAAAACACATCATCATCATTAAAAAAACATAAATAAGAACCAAGTTAAAAACAAAATTAAAACATAGTATTACAATATTAAATTAAAAGGTGAAGAGAACACTCTCACACCATCAATCATCCCCAGGGTTAGATAACACCCTTTGGTCCCCATGCCAATTGACAGAGCCAGTTGTTAACACTCTTTAGGAAAGCCAGAAGAGTGGGATTCCACGTCACCTTTGGAAGTAAGCTTCTCCAAAAGACAGGGAAATGGCAGAGAAGGGTCATTTATAGCCCATATCTACTGTGAAATTGAATTTTAGCAGAAGTATTGAAAATTGGCCTGAGATTTTTAAAGGAAAGTGTATGTACATTTTTTAAATAAGCAAATAATCTGGTTTTCATGATGTTTTTATTGCTAAAGGCTGCTAGTTTCTATACATCATCATGACTGTGTAATACTTTGTGTAAACTGACTGGTAACTCAACAGAAAATAGCATTTATTGTTGCTCTGTAGATTGTCAGGGATGACCTATGAAGTGTGGTGGGAAACAAAAATTAAAGCAATTCTTAGAAGGAGAATTCTTTGCGATAGCCTTCTGCAGGTTGAAGTAATTACAATTTTGATAGCTTCCAAAGGAAGCCTTAATTATTTATAGTTATTATGATGTGACAGGAGAGAATAATAATAATAATAATAATAATAATAATAATAATAATAATAATAATAATAATAATAACGATGATGATGATGATGATGATGATGATGATGATAATAACAATAATAATAATAATAATAATAATAATAATAATAATAAAGTTGGAAGGGACCTTGGAGGTCATCTAGTCCAACCCCTGCTCAGGCAGGAAACCCTATACCATTTCGGACAAATGACTGTCCAGTCTCTTCTTAAAAACTTCCAGTGTTGGAGCATTCACCGCTTCTAGAGGCAGGTTTCTATCACTGCTATAATGTTCCCCCTCGTCCTTCTCTTCGTTAAACTAGACATACCCAATTCCAGCAACCGTTCCTTATATGTTTTAGCCTCCAGTCCCCTAATTATCTTTGTTGCTCTTCTCTGTACTCTTTCTAGAGTCTCAACATTTTTACATTGTGGTGACCAAAACTGGATGCAGTATTCCAAGTGTGGCCTTACCAAGGTATTGTAAAGTGGTATTAATACTTCATGTGATCTTGATACTATCCCCCACAGCCCAGCACTGTGTTGGCTTTTTTGGCAGCTGCAGCACACTGCTCCTAATGAGAAGGAAGGACTCACTGGAGAAGGACCTAATGCTGGGAAAGATTGAGGGCAATAGAAGAAGGGGACGACAGAGAATGAGGTGGCTGGATGGTCACTGAAGCAGTAGGTGTGAACTTAAATGGATGGTAGAGGACAGGAAGACCTGGAGGAACGTTGTCCATTGGGTCGCGATGGGTCAGACACAACTTCGCAATTAACAACAAGCACACTGCTGGCTCATATTTAAGTGATTGTCCACTAGGACTCTGAGATCCCTCTCACAGTTACTACTATTGAGCAAGGTACCCCCTATACAATACCTGTACATTTTGTTTTTCTTGCCTAAATGTAGAACCTTAGTTTTTTCATCATTGAATTTCATTTTGTTAGATAGCACCCAGTGTTCAAGTCTGTCCAGATCCTTCTGTATCTTAAGCCTGTCTTCTGGAATGTTGGCTATTCCTGCCAGCTTGGTGTCGTCTGCAAATTTGATGAGTTCCCATCTATCCCCTTGTCCAAATCATTGATGAAGATGTTGAAGAGCACTGGGCTTGAACAGAGCCCTGGGACAGCCCACTACACACTTTCAGCCAGCTACAAATCCATCTGGTGGTGATGCTGTCTAACCCATATTTTTCTATCTTATCAAGTAGTAGGTTGTGATCTACTTTATCAAATGCCTTACTGAAGTCCAAGTAAATTATATCCACAGCATTCCTCTGATCCACTAATTTTGTCACTTGGTCAAAGAATGCAATAAGATTTATCTGGCATGATCTATTTTTGACAACTAATCTGTAATATTGCAATATGTTGCATTTCATGAGCAAAATATACAATATCATATTTAGAGAGGAATAGAATAATCTTCAAATATGTTAAGTATTGCAGTCCAGGGTTCAACAAAGACCCAGTCTTTTGGGGCTAAAATATCATTTCTTATAAGATACAATTAAAAGTATGATAAAAAGCCACAGTAACCAGAATTTTCTCGCTTTGTTTGGTACTTGGTGCAAAAAGTGACTAGAACTCATAATTTTATTTAAAAATCCATTTTAAATAAATTATTATAAACTTTATAGCATTAATTGTGCTGGTTCCTGTACAGTATAAATTATTAAATAGGCCTATACTTTTTAAACATCTAAAAGCAAAACTATGAATAATAAATTTATTCATATTCAATTTATTGACAATTTCTAAGGACAGTCTAATAATAAACAATTGAGAAGGTGTGGAATGTACCACAAATAATATTTAATGATTTTATAAACAATATTTAATCATGAGGGACACTTGATAGTCACACTGGTTGTTTCAACTCCAGTGGGCGATGATCTAACTGCAAGAAGTTTTCTTTTAGAGCACGGGTGTCAAATTTGCCAGGTCATGTGACGTGTCGCAACGTATCACGACTCTTTTTGCATTGCCGGCAATGGGGTGGGTGTGCTTTGGTATGATGAAACTGGCCTGTGGGCCGGCATTTTGACATGCAAAATGCCGGCATGTCAAAATGAGCATGCAAAAAATGTACCAAGTGGTGAGAAAAAGGTAGGTTTATCTGTCCCTATCTGCATTTTTTTCTGAGTGATTTCAGCTATTGAGAGAGGACAGTATTTACAAAATATGGAACTTTCCTTTTCCTTTTCCAGGAATTTCTATCCTGAAGCAAAAGTTGTGCTAGTACAGGCAGTCTGCACTGACTCTCTCAAAATTGGATCAGCCCATAAATCCAGTAAAATAAAGAAGTAATAATAAATAAAATGTGTGGGATCAAAAGGTGATAAACAGTAACAAAAGAGAGTGAGAAAGGGACAATGAAAGGAAAAATTTTTTTGATTAAGCAACTGAGTTGGAGCTTCCCTCCTAGTCTGAACAAGAGTTGCCAAAGGGTTAATTATTTTCCAGATTCCCTTTGATTACCAAAAAAGTCATTTAGAAGATGAGTTATTAAGAAGCATAATGCACATTACTTTGATTAATAATGGAATTCTCCAAGTAATGGTCACAACTCTGATAACATTAGGTTAGGTAGCTACCTTTTCCTTACAATGTTTTATCATGACCCAGTCAAAAAACAGATACAATTTAAAGGGAGGGTGCAAAGTCCATAAAATAATCTAGATTGCATTTTAGCACATAGACAGAGCAAGAATAGGGTCTTCTTTCTTAAAAAAAAAATATCAATCCTTGGTAGACTCTACTTTCATTTACTAGAAATGATTAGAACATCAATACTCCATATCTCACATGGTAGGCATTATTTATATTGATGATCTTTAAGATCTTATTAAGGAACAATTCATCTTTTGCTAAAATTGTTCTTGAAACCAGAAATTTACCAATTGATGGTTATTTAATCAAGTGAATCCTGTACACTCAGTCTTAGACACTCTCAAATTCAATGTGTATTGTAATGGAAAATGTGATCTATTTAAAAAATACTCAAAACACAAAAACCTTATTTTAAAAATCCACTTTATATATTCACTATGTACAAAATATAAATTTGATTACTACTTCAAGTTACAATACAAAATTTAACACTAGCGCTATTTGAAAAAATGTTGAGGACACAGGAGTAAGATTTCACTTTTAATATAAAAATATAATCACTTCAATGAACTATTAATTCTAAAATAGCCTTCATAATTTGGAAGTAATTTGAAACCCTATGATGTTGAAGGCAAAAGAAAAAGAATGTTTAATCAAAATCTCTTATAAGAGACATCCATTGAAAATAAAAATGATGAAACTGCTTCACTGGAAGTTCCTACAATGAAGATTATGCTCTGTTACCAGACCCCAGCACGTTGTTGCCGATTTTGTCCTGAATGTTCAAAAAACATGAAATCCTATTGAGAAGAAAAACAAACAAACATAGAATAATTAAGTAAATTGCTTGCTAAAATTCAGACATTCTTCTATTTTACTCAGCAGTTTTCTTTTAATGAGAAAATTCTTATGGTAGGATTCATCGAAATCGACATACCACAGGATAACTTCCCCAAACCTCATGTTCTGAGGAATTATTGGGGCTATGGATGCCAATATCTCTAATCTAAGGGGTGTTGAGTTTGGAAAGTATAGAGAAGACTACAACATGTGCTGCTTCCATCCTTAAAACTGCAACTCTGTTGGCAGCCCATTCCATAGCCTTAAGAATTTTATCTAATGCAGTGTGCTTTACAAATTTGGAAGTTTCTTTCCAGAACTGGCTAGCAAACCTAACACTTGAGATAATTAGATTGCCTCCTCTGGCAGTCAAAAGAATTTAGCAATTCTCCTGATGGTTCAAAAACAAGCTCTGTTCAAGCTCTTATAGTAGATTCTGTTAGGAATTCCACTGGTATATTATACTAAAAACCTATTATTGTATTACACAATTAGTGAATAATACAGTATCTAAGAATATTATACTTACTATAAGGAAGCAAGCTCCAAGCATAACAGCTTTCATTTTTACATCAAGATTCATTGGGAACTGGATTCCAAAGTTGTCAGCATCTGTAAAAGCCTCCTTGACAAAACCAGTCCACTGCTTGGAAATTTTTCCAACATTGTTTTCATCTAAAGATAACACCTAGTTTGGGGAAAAAATAGAGAAAATGTTTTACAATATAGAAAATTCAAGTATCTTGAAGCAGATATCACTTTTTCAAGCCAGTAAGAAAAATAGTGCAATAATGAAATAAATGTAAAGAAATATCTTCAGAAACCAAATCAATATTCAATAGTCCTAGGAAATGTTTACAATATTATTTAAAACAGTACTAGTTTTAAGATATTTTAAAACAAGTTAGTCTAACATTCAGAAAGTTTAAAATATTTCTTACTCCTCATTCCATTTTATCAAAAAAAAGATGCTTTCTGAATATAAGTCATTCTATGTATGACTTTTTCCCCCTGAAACTGGAAATTTCTCTCAAACTAGTAATAATTCCATACAGAAGAACTATAAGATTTATACTATGCCATCAAGCCATTGTTCCAAGCAATAAAACGGACAGGGTTTTACTGATTAATCTCTTAAAAAGTAGAATATGAACTTCTGGTGTTAATTTACCTCAAAATCAATATCTGAACAACAGCTGCAGACTACACAGGGCCCAACAATTTTGAGTACATCTTCTCGGGCTTCATTCTGGATTACAAATTTTGGCAAACAAGGATCCCAGGTCTGTTTAACATACCCAACTGGTGTGCCTAAGGGAGCATGAACTTCGATCTTTATAAAATAGAAAAAAAGAGATAAAACAGTTAGGCCTGCATAAAATTCATTAAAAAGACAATACATTTATAACAAAAAGTTTGTTCTTGTTCAACACACTTGCTCATAATTCTTTCCTTAAATCCTAAAGTGACATATGGTCTTGGATGCAGAGTCCTTCAGAAGGTGCTACCAAGTTTTTAAAACATGAGAATACAAAAATTATTAAATATGTAAGGACTACCTTATTTTTTAATTAATCTAGTTTAATACTATGTTTAAATTTAGTTTTTGTCCTATATCTACCTATGGTTTAGAGTACACACCTAGTAACCAATTCAAAGGCCAAGTGTGTCTCTCAGTATGGAAACAAAACAAGCAACTTTAACAAACTGCTTTACAAGGTACAGGAAGTCAGATAAATCCAAAGCACTGAACAGACTGGACTCCATGAAACTTTTAAGCACCTAAAAAATGGGACTGCATCCACTGACCATGCCATAAATTCTCCTGTATTGCTATTTCTGTTCACCCTGAATTCAATGCATCAAGTGACAATCAATTCTTGTCACATACAGGTCTTCACCCAATCCAGGAACCTGATTTATGAAAATCAAAAAGAATTTTTAACAATCCAGATATTCAAGTAAGAAGCAGAAATAACTGCACTGGTGGAAGTATCCAGACAGAAGAACAGACAGGCAATTAAGCTTCATCATCAATGGTATTTAAGGCATGCCTGTTAGATTAAAGTCTTATATGGAATGTCTGAAATCTGCAGCCATGTAGATTGGATAAGACAGTGTAAAGTTGTCCTTCCAATATTGGGTTTCTTTTTAATTTTTTTTAACTTCAAAGTAATATTGTCTACAATTACTTGTAGAACCAATTTGGTCTAGTGGTTAAGGTGCTGACCTAGGAACCATGACATATGGTCCTGCCTTAGGCATGAAAGTGGCTGGTTGGCTTTTGGTCAATCAGTTGCTCTTAGCCCAATTCCCAAAGGTTATTGTGGAAGAAATTGGAGAAGGAAGAAATATTAGGTATGTTCAGTGCCTTGAATATTTATAATAATAAAGGAGGGAAAATAAACAAACTTTCTTCCAAAATCTTAAGTTAGGAGGAGAAGGCATATATACATTGTGAAAGCCTTGGATAACCAACCAAATGTTAATTAAATGACTTATTTCTCATGGTATTTACAAATAATTAAATTTGTTTATTAAACATACAAATTTTGTATTTGTTTCGCTTGTTCCCACACTTGACTTGCATATTACAAAGGAAAATATCTTTGCCTTGAAGGGCAACACAAAGAAGAGGAAAAGGTAATGTAGTGAAACTGGACTCAAAGATACAAAAATATGTCATTGTTACTTAGATAAGATCTTAATCTTAGAGACAGCACAAGACTATACCTTCATATTTATGTTACTCCACATGAATTTTCCTTTTTCCAAATTACCACTGTGGAGGAATATTGAAGTCCATGATTGCTCCATTAAAGGGCAATGTTCATATGGTATCAAAAGGTGCTGAAACAAAGTTCTTTCATAGAAAAAGGGCCCAACAGATATAGAATTTGACATTGAAAAGTCAAAGGCAATGAGACAACATAAAAAAGAATGAAGAATCATGAAGAAAATGGTGGCTTTTGAAGTAAACCTAAAAAGCATAGAGAAGTGGCTTAAAAGTGAATAGAAAGTCTGTGTAAGAACTTAAAGAACATTATCTTATTGGCTGTGTCCCAAATTAATATCCATTATTGTGAGAGTCTTAAATTGGCTTTGCCAAAAGAGGCATATTTCATCAAGGGATTCACCTCTTGTAAACAGCAAGGAAAGCAGCAACTGGAACACCGCAGAGGTCGCATGAGGTTTATGACTTCCCGGCCCATATTGTCCATAATTTTCATCGTAAATGGTCGTGATGGTCCACAGCAGTTCAAAGTGCAACAGTCATTTTCTTCAGCTGCAAAATACACCCTTTGTCCCATAGCATTTTTAATTTCATATTTGTTGGCAGTCTCAAAGCCAGTAATAACTGAAACAAAGAAACATACATACATACATACATAAAGCTGTTTGGTCAATTATCCTATTTCACTTTAAGTTATTCCTTTTTCCAAGAATACTAATGTATGTCAAGAAAATAATCTGCAAAGTTCTACTTAAAGATATGGGACAGTGAGAAGGACAAACATAAAAAGAAAAATGATACCCTGCAATCATATTTCATATGGTTTTATGCATGATACTAGGATGTTTTAGCTCCTAATCCAATGTCCCAAAGCACCTCCAATCCCTTCATTAGAAACTCACAATTTAAAGCAACAGACTTGCATGTGTTTCTAAAACCTCCATCCGCCAACTTTCCCAAAAATAATTGGACTTTTAATTTCTAATTTTTGATGTGACAAAATATATGAAATACGTGATCAGAGAAAAATCATATCAACTATAGATATTTTTATTCCATTTATCTTTAACAACAATGACATTTAGTTCATGGAGTGCTTTGTGGGCCAGGCAAAAATTTAGCCTAGCTTCCCTCTGCTGAAAAGGAAGATTTGAAGAAAATTCTTATTTCCTTTCACTAAACTTTGGTTAGGAATATTTCATTAACTGTAAGGTCTCACTGCACAAAGGTTTCCACTGGCATTCAAGAAACAGATCAAAGAGAGAACAGCTCATGGAGAGTACAAGAATGCTCCCTAGGACAGGGGTAGGCAACCTCGGCTCTTTCCTGAGGAATTCTGGGAGTTGAAGTCCATGAGTCATAAAAGAGCCGAGGTTGCCTACCCCTGCCCTAGGAGGATGTTTGGGGCAGAATACACACACATGCTTCTATACATGTCCATTAGCCATGATTGTATGTCTGGCAGGCCAGATTAAAAAGTCGTTTTCTGGCTCACCTTTCTGGAACCAGAGGGAATTAATGGAACAAATACTCTCAGCTTTTTCCAGGACTCAGAGAACAAGATTAGAGTTTCCCTTACCCAAGTCAATGCTGAGGCAACTAAAATAACTTATTTCCAATCTACAGTACTGTGGGAGAATAATCATTTTTTCTTCCTTCAAAGGGAATTTCACCTTTTTTTTTTAAAGTCCCAAGCGACAAGAAATATAGAAATAAGGTTGTTTTCATTTACAACAGTATGTTCCAGGACCAAAAAAGTAAAACAATTTCCGGTGACCATACAGCACCTAATATACAAATAATATGAAATTATTCCTTTTTCAGTTCATCTTTTGGAGATTGGAAATTCTTGTTTTTTTCCCCCGTGGATGTGGATAGTCTTTACACCGACCACCAATTTGACTGGATTGGAACTCTTTGGCTATATACAATCCCATACATGGGGACATGACATAATGTGCTATCTATGTATATATCTGAGAACTTAAGAAGAAGGTAACTGTATATAGCATTCTAATATATCTTTTTGCAACATGACTAAACATCAGGATTTGGAGAGCTTCTACAGCTATTGAACTATAAGCAGTCATTGAACATGCAAATATCCATGAATTCAATTTTTGGTGGTAGGTATGAAGCCCACAGAATACCATCTGGCTAAACACATCTGAAAAAAAACACCAAATATGGGTAGTCCTCAACTTACAACCATTTTTTTAGCAACTGCCTAAAGTTACAACTGGTCTTCACGTTTACAACCATCATAGTATCCCCATGGTCATGTGATCAAAATTTGGGCAATTGGCAATCAGCATGTATTAGGATGGTTCAGGTGATCATCATTTGCAGCCTTCCCATCTGGCTTCAAACAATCAAAGTTAATGGGAAAAGCCACTTAAAAACTACACGATACACTTAGCAATTGTGACAAAAGGTTGTAAAATCAGGTATGATTTATTTAATAATTGCTTTGCTTAGCAATGGAAATTCTGTTCCCTTCTGTGTCTGTAAGTTGAGAATTATCTGTAGGATGAAACCAATCAAATTCTATCTCCTAGTGGTTAAGTGTAACTATACCTCTTTCAGAAAAATATTACAACACAAGAAATAGTATTTTTGTCATCATTAGAGACTTTTTGCCATTAACTACTCAAGCTAAATAACTAGCACAACAATGCAACACTTATAACAAATAGTATAAACCAAATCAAAGTTAAGAATTATATTGTGCTTAAGCAGCTATTATTACTAAATAGAAATATATGTAGAAAATATATATAGTTATATTAATAGAATTCTGTTCTTACATATGAAGACTACTAAAGAAATAGTACATTCATCTGATTTTTTTCTAAGCCATGAATACCAAGTAACATAAAATACCTACTTTCCAGAAGTTCAATTTGCTGGTGGATTAATATCTGATCAATCTGTTGGAAGAATGTGTTAAAAAATAAATATTAGAACTGATGTATAATCAACCAATTCATTCTGCAACTAGTCTGTAAGTTATCAACCTCATCATTTAAGAGAAGTGCCTTACATGGAAACAAAATGAAGTTATTTTCTTCTTGATAAAATTTTCAGAATTAAAGAGGAATCTTATTTCAGCATCTATCAACTCTGATCCCCTCCAGATATGCTGGACCATCACTCTAAAATATCCAACTTGAATTTGTCAACTGGGAATCCAAAAGGTTGTAGGTCCAACACATTTACAGCACACCAGTTTTGTCTGGTTTCGAATTGTCAATATTAATAGAAGCAACAACTTTCACAAATCAAACTACAAAAACAGAACCGGGACTAGTTCATATAGAAGTCCTCTATACCATTCCAATCTTCTGGCAGCTGCTGATACGCCATCAAATAAAGTTGTCCTTTCATTCCATTGTCTTCTCATAGCTATTCTTCAAAACCTATACACCAGTCTTTGTCATCTTTCTAAATGAATGGGACACGTTTTAGCAACTGCAGTGCCATGAAGTGCAGAAACACTCCTGTTCTAGCTTTGACTTCTCAGGCTTCGGCATATGTTTTTGTCCTAGGATTTATTCTAAATATAAGTAGGCTGATATTTAATATAATGAGTGCATGCCTTGCATTGAGGACTATTCGGTTTCAAATTTAAGCATCTTTATGCAGAAGTGGAAAAAGTTGTATCTAAAAACCTAGAATATGGGCTGCATTATTCCAGTGCCCTCTAGAACAGGGGTGTCAAACTGCCGGCCCACGGGCCAGATGCATCATCCGGAAGTCACTCCCTCCCCATTGCCAGCAATGTCAAAACCGTCCCAATACGTTGTGCGACATCACGTGACATCGCGAGTTTGACATGTCTGCTCTAGAAGGACATTCCCCTTGAGAGTCAAACATACCCCCACCCTACTGATGCTTCAAAAGGCCCTGAAGACTTGGATCTTTGCCCAACATTTTGATGAGCATGATTGAAGCTCCCCTTTCTTTCTTTTCTCTGTTCCCATCCAGGTTCGTTATCTCTGCCATCTTTATTCTTTTTTGGGTTGCGTCATTTTCTTGTTTTAATATTTAATCATTTATGGACTTCCCAGAGTTGCTAGGAATTGGGCAGCATATAAATTTAATAAATCATCATCATCATTATCATCATCATAATAAATGAATGGCCTATACTTTCAGTGACCATACTTCCTTGAAAGAATAAAGGATAACTCTGAAAAAGGAGGTTTCTAAGGATTAAAAAAAATGTTTATGCTTATCCTTTGCTTTACAAAGGAAAATAAAGAGGAAAACCAAGAAAAAATTACCAAAATTCATATTCTCATAAAAATATCTAAAATAGAAAAGTATATGTAAATTTATCTTAAACATACAGTTCAGTTTCCCTATTTTGCACATGAATGTGGAAAACTATGAATTAAGTGGCGAGCTTTTTGTAAAGGTTGTGACCAAAAAAAGGCAAAATAAGACTTTTTGAAAAATAGGCAGCCTTCTAAAATACAATACTGTCCTTTATAATAAAGGACCTATGCTCCCAGTATTTAAAACTATTTATCAAGATAAGAATAACTGTTTTCACATATTTTGAAGAAATTCTCAATTATACTTTATTAGGCAGAAGGAGAGTGAGATACCTGACTTAAATATTCCAATCCAGGAGGGCAATTTGGAAGAGATGGTGGTTCTGGCATCCAAACAGCGTGGGGAGCAGGTTGGCTATAGGTTGATGGAGCTCCATAAGCTGTAGGAAATGCATACGGGGGCTGTGCAGGAGCACCTTTTAGGAAAAGAGGTAACAAACAAACAATATGTTTTTAAAAAATAAGCAGTACATGCAGAATTTTTTGTTTTATGTTTAAGCAATTGGGTTTATCAAAAGTGCTTTTTCAGGAGGCAACTGGACTTTCTTGTTTTTCTTTGAAGATGTTTCGTTTCTCATCTAAGAAGCTTCTTCCGCTGTGACTGGATGGTGGGGAATGGAAGGATTTATATTCCTTGCAGACAGCTGGTCATTTGCATTCTTTTAGAGAGTCATTGAGGCCATGTGGAGGTTTAGCTGTGTCCTCAGGGTCACCTGAGTAGTGCAAATGGGCACGGAGCTTTCTTGGCTGCAGGATGTTTTCTGCCCTGTGTCCCTTCACTGTTGAAGACAGCTGCAGGCTGTTGAGGATGAACTATTTGCAAGGAATATAAATCCTTCCATTTCTACCATCCAGTCAGAGCTGAAGAAGCTTCTTGGATGAGAAGTGAAACATTTTCAAAGAAAAGCAAGACGGTCCAGTAGCCTCCTGAAAAAGCACCTTTGGGACAGCCATGACCTGGATGACTGAGAATCTCCATAGACATTTAGGTTTATCAATGTTCAGGATGTATCAAAAAGGAAGGAAAAAATCATACAGTATATGCCTATGTAGAATTTGAAATGCAATGTAGTCCTCCTTCTCCCTCACCCTACAATGAGGCATACAATGGGTATCTGTTTGGTATCTTATAATGATAGATTACACTAATATGGCACCATCTTCTCAATTATAAGGGAGGAAAGGACAGGATGGACATTATACCATATATGATGTATGTCCTTTTAAATGTCTGCAGTGTTTATATGTTTGTAGTGATACCTAGAGAAAAGAAGACTACTATGTCCATGCAGACAGGTTTTAGAAGACTTTCACTGCTTATGAATTTCTTTCCAGCATAAATCAAAGTGGTTTTTTACTTTTGATTGCTCCTGCTTTTAAAAATTAACATGGCAGCAGGTAAAAAAGAGGAATTTTTCTGTGGTGACAATGCATCTTGATTCTGAAGTTCTATTCCAAAGAAAGTTCATGCAGCATTTTGTTATTATTACCACTTATTCATCTAGTAATGCTGACCTAGAAATTGTAAATTCTTAAGCCTGAGAAGCATGAAAGCCAGTTAGGTGACTTTGGGCCAATCACACTCTCTCAGCTAAACCATGTCAGAGGATTGTTGTGATGGGGAAAATAGGAGGTAGGAATATAGGCACTGTCTTAAGTTATTTATATAAATGCAGGATATAATCATGATCTATATCATTTTTAAGCATTTTTTTCATCACATTGAGTAATGGTGCCTGCCTATCATGGTCATAACTTGTGACAGTTGTAAAGTGGATTGGTCACATGACCTATCTCATTTTATGACCTTTTCTGTGGTAGCTGTTAAGCAAATCCTTAGTTGTTAAGCAAATCAGTTATACACTATGGGCAGTTTTGCCAAAAATTGGAAGTAAACGCTGATTTTTGGCAAAACCACTATAAAACGTGATCACATGACTAAAGGACACTGCAAACAGCCATAAAAATGGCCCCATTTGCCAAGCATGTGAAGTGCAGCCACATGACCATGGGGAGGGGTTGTCCCTCAAATTATAGTATTTGAGATCCAGATACTGATTGGTTTCTCCTGTGCTAATCCACAGGAAGAGTGAGATCAGAATAGAAAGCCAGAGACCATGAGTCCTAGACCCATATTCAAGCACAAAACAGATGGTGACTTTGGGCCAGTCACTTTCTATCAGGTCTAAGAAGGAGGCAATGGCAAACCAATTCTGGAATCTTTTCAAGAAAATTGCAGGGACTGGTCCAGGCATTCACTGACTTGAAGTAATAAGGAGGAAAAAATCATCAAGAAACAGGACTATGTTTCACATAAAAATTATGTGACACCTATGAAAAATTGCACTACTGACACTATTTTATTACAAAAACGAGGATGAGAATAACAGTGTGAAGGCTGAGGAGGCACGATTTCCACACTTTCAGTATCTCACTCATTCCTTTCTCCTTCCCAAATGCAGCATGGCTTTTGGTCATCTTGGAGAAATATTCAGAGTGAAAATGGACAGTTCCTTCCAGAGATGTGTCACTTCAATTTCTATTCTTTAAAACAAACACTCAAAAGCAGGAAATGAGAATGAAAATTGAACCCAATTGTTTTCACTGACATCTGACTGGGGACTAATAAACTAAGCCCTTAATAAATTAAGACAGGTTTTCCATTGATGTTTATATACTGCACTTTGTCCAACTGGGGCTTGTATTATTTTGTGTGAACCCAATCAATTCTAATTTATTGAAAAAAAACCTACATTAAAACAAAACATGACTGAGCCTGATATGTAGACTCAGTCATGGTGTGCTTTCTCTTTGCACCTATTCAAGTTCTTTGTTTTGTATTACTCAAACGAAAAGGAAATCTATGTCTTCTCCTTTTCCATCAGAAACCAGATCAAATTAGGGAAGTATGAAAGTTTGCTACGATTATTTGCTAAAATTGTTCTGGCAATTATTTTCCAGTCATGTGTTTTCTTCATGAGTTGAGTGAAATTGAGTCCATTCAATTGTGATTTACACTAATCTTTAATTTTACTGCTTTTGAAAGTATATTTTGTATTGAAATTTGAAGGTTCAATTAATTTTTTTCACTCAACCATCTTCAAAAATCTAAAGCCAAAGTACATTGTCTTTTCTCTTCATTTTACTTTTCTTATCCCTATAATTATTTATGAAGTGAGCTAGTTCAAGAGAGACTGACTGATCCAAAGTCACATAATTCAGTTGTTGGCACACAACGTCTGATTTTGAAGCTAATCAGGATCAAATCTGGTTAGGACATAGATAAATCCTAGGGCAGACATGTTAAACTTGCAAAGTCACATGACGTCGCGCAATGTATCGGGACGGTTTTGCCATTGCTGGCAATGAGGTGGGCGTGGCTTCCAGATGATGCATCCGGCCTGCAGGCTGGCAGTTTGATACCCCTGTCCTAGGGGATTCCAGGGCTATAGGCTAAACATGGGAGTTTATAGCATTCTGGAAGGAAGAAACAGAAAACTGTTTCCATACTCTTGGAAATGACATGGTTGTGTCCATGAAGTCACCAAGAATTGATAGTTTAAAAGAAACCATGTGTTTTTATTAAGGTTAGCTCTGTGCCTATATCTGTCCAGGCTATGTTCAACAAATGAATCACCTGAACAATTATGCAATATTCAATCCAAGAAGCAACAATGTATTGTGTTATTATTAATTTACTTAGCTCAGTATTAACCTCTACCCAAGGTTTCAGATAGAGATCCTTTCCAAGGTTCAAGCTGAAACCTTATGCAAGCCAAGTACACTGAGCTATGGCCCTCTACACATTGCAATTTTTTCCCCACACCATTTTCAAAGCTCAATAAATTGTCACCATTTTTTAATGTAGACAAGGCCATGTTTCCACAATCTAAAAGCTGTATGCTTCTCCCCAAGGGCTTTTTAAATTCAAATGATTTACTGACTGCAATAGCTGGATGCATGCCTCTTCCAAGGGATAAGGGTATCTCTTTTATTATTTGAATATAAAAAACCATTCCATGGTTGCCATCATTCATATGAATGTCATTTTGAATTACTTGCCAGGCCAGGAGAATCAATTTGTTTCAGAAGGCTAACAAAACTACACTTTCTACTATTCTTATTGCTCTCCTTATTTACACAGCATCATTATCCTATGCAACTTAGTTTTACATAATGGAGAGCAAAGAGTTCACCCTTCCAGGAAGCTTCTGATAAATTGCGAGAAACATGCCTGCAGCACAGTATAATCAGTCCAATAAGGAATTCATATTAAGGTATCAGATCTATATATTCTTTATATTTTCTTCCTCTGACCTGTCAAATCCTACCATATATTGCTTGGAGGTAGTCAAGGTATCTATCAACATTTTGAGGAATATTTGAGAAAAGATGTTTTCACAAATGATTTGCATTCTCTTTCATAGCTAAACTACTATCTTTATCTCAAAAGAAAATAACTGAATTTAAGTCAGTAAGCAATTAATATTCAGTAAAACAGATATAAATTCATATAAAAATCTTGCACGCTATCTTACTGGCATTTCTTTCCCTCAACAAGCATATACTTCTATGTGTACATTGTTTTTGTGTCTGTATGTGTTGAAGAGTGCCAATGTAGTGGTTAAAATGTTGGCCTAGGAGTGGAGAGCCTCAAGTTCTAGTCCTGGATTATGCTCAGAAGCTAAGACATGACTTCTCAGTCCTAGATTGAGACCCTGAAAAACATTATCTACAAATATACTTTAGACAACATGCTACGTTACAAACCATAACCTTCAATGAAGAGTACAGTAGTGGGTTGGTTGATGGGTAGATATGCATTTACACACATGCCAATAAACAGAAGGTTAAGAACAGAAAATTAAACATGAATTGAATTAATGATACTGATTAAAATTAATGGGCTGTAAAATAAGAAAAACTCATTTGTGAAATTGATTGATCCTCCATGTATACATATATACAAACCACAGTCTTTTACATAAATGACTTTCTTTCCTTTAGCCAAATACCAAACCTCAACTTATGATCATAAATGAACTGGAATCAGTGTTCCATCTTTCCAACGTTAGTAAAATGAGGACCCATATTGTTGGGGGCAATATGCTGGCATTGTAAACCTCTCAGTAAAGCACTGTGGAGCAGTATATAAGTCTAAGTGCTATTGTTATTGCTACAACAGTCATTAAGCAGGACATCATGACTGTTTCACTCAACGAATGCAATACTGGAACTCCCGGTTGCAGTTGTTAAGTGATCTCATGGATCGTTAAGTAGATGGAGTACTAGGTAAGGAGTGTGGGGTGCCTCAGCAAAGTGGGGAAGAATGTGGGATTCCTGATGCAAGCCTTGTATGAGTGTAGTTATACTCAAGAGCTGAAAATCATTCCTGCCAAAATCCAAGCAGGATTTTTAGCACCAGAATGGAGAGACAATCATACACCACCTGTACCAAGCCTACAAGGTCATCACCCACACCTCTGAGCCACTCCAAACTCCTTATCTTACTGTTGTTTCTCCACTCTGGTCCTGAAAAATCCTCCCTGCAAACAGGATTTTTAGCACCAGAGAGGAAAGACACTCTCACAGTCTATACCAGGCCTACCTGGGCACTTACTTTATTGTGCTGCCCTTTCTCTCTGCTGAAATCCAAGCAGGAGTTACAGCTCCTGAGTTGAGACACTCAACTCTGTGCCTCTGCCAGGCCTCTTCCACCCACCCATGACACCCCACACTCCTTACATTATCCCACTGCTTCTCCACTCTGGGACAGAACATCCTGCTTGGATTTTGGCTTCCTGTCTTTGGGGGTTGGCTGAAAAAGCTGCCTGCCAAAGGATTTCTTACTTCCTCCATGCATGGAACTCAAATCATGAAGTTTTCAGTTCCATGGCTGAAGCTTGCTGAATAAGTTTGGTTAAACTGCAGGAACAGGAAACCTTTGGAGTTTTAGTTCTGCTCCTGCAGCCTGCCAAAAGAGTTCAACTCTCCTCTGTGCACAGAGCTGAAATCTTGAATGTTTCAGCTCTGTCTTGAAGACTTCAGTTTTGTTCCTGCAGTCCACCAAATGATTTCAGATAATCTGCCACAGTCCCCTCCACATGCAGAAGGAAAGTGTTCATGGACTCTCCTGCATTAGAAAACCAGGTTTCTCAGTGGATGGACTATAAGCTCTTTATTGCAAAAATTCCAGAGGGTGACAAAACGAAGATAGAACTAACATCTATTTAACAGAGATGACAGTAACTTCTCTCATTTTCTTTCATAACTGTACCATCTGCTCATTCTTTCCACTCTTGTTTATCTACAGTATTCTCAGCAAAAGTAAGCTGACCACTTCCCATCAACTCATATGTTATTATTTTGGGCAGAACTTTGTATTCCCCCCTGTGCAGAAAGCAGAAAGCATGGTGTCCACTCACTAAAAAGGGTCAGGGGCTTGTTTGTTCCCTTCACTTTACCTTATGGATCTTTTTTTAAAATCTGTTTTATTTCTGCATGTCTTTAGCCCCAGGTAATTGACATAATACACGTGTCTTGAACTTTGGACTGGATATTATTGTTGCTTTTGCTTTTAATTATTATATGCTGCCCATTGCAACAATCTCATTAAGATTGATAATAAGGTAATAAGTACAGTTAAATAAGCAAAAAACCAGCCCCTCCCTGTCTTGGTTAATGTATTTATCATCACTTCTGAAATCTCTGCAGCAGACTCCTAGTACGCTGAATGAACTCCCTTTAACTGTTTTGATATGATGTTACTTCAGTTCCCCTTTTCCTCACCAGGAATCTTATACTTATTTTGCAACAATTTTACAACATGGTGACATTTGCCCTACTGAATGGATCTACAGTAACTGAACTTCCTCTTTCATATTATTAAACACAATGATAGACTATTTAACATAGTAAAAATAATGCTAGTGATGGCTTTTAACAGCCTACAATTTGGTTATTCTATTAGATAAAGTGATCAGATAATAATAATAATAATAATAATAATAATAATAATAATAATAATAATAATAATAAGAAGAAGAAGAAGAAGAAGAAGTAGTAGTAGTAGTAGTAGTAGTAGTAGTAGTAGTAGTAGTAGTAGTAGTAGTAGTAGTAGTAGTCTTGGAGCATTCACCACTTCTGGAGGCAGGTTGTTCCACTGGTTAAATGTTCTAACTGTCAGGAAGTTTTTCCTTAGTTCTAGGTTGCTTCTCTCTTTGGTTAGTTTCCACCCGTTGCTTCTTGTCCTGCCTTCAGGCACTTTGGAAAATAGCTTGACTCCCTCTTTTCTGTGGCAGCCCCTGAGATACTGGAACACTGCTATCATGTCCCCCCTCGTCCTTCTCTTCATTAAACTAGACATACCCAATTCCAGCAGCCGTTCCTTATATGCTTTAGATAAAATGTCAAAGTGTAGTTTAGTCCAACCTTTAGCTTCTAGGGACTGTAACACCAAAAATACCCTGCCTATGAGACTTTCCTTCAGCGTGAGAAAGTTTTGAAAGCAGCAGAAGCTAATTTTTGCCAATAAAGAAGTACTTCACTTTAAAAAGTGAAAATATAATATTAGAAGTTCAACACTGAAAATGTTGTGCAATGCTTTGCACATGATCCCAATGAAATGCTTCAAAGTGCCTGAGGGTGTGGAAGCCATGCAGTGTACATACATCTCTAATAAAGGGACTCTACGTTTAACTGGAAATATTCCTACAAAATATTTACCAGGGAAAGCTTGTGGACCAGGGTACGGAGCCACTCCAGCAGCGTATTGGGGATATCCATACTGTGCCTGTGGTCCAGGATATCCAGGAGCTACTACTACGGGTACAGAATGATTTGCTAAAATAAAGGAAAGGCAGGTCAACTATTAAGAAACCTTCTTTCATTTAGGTGTTCTTAGACATGCATAAATCAAATAAATACATCTGCTTTTTAAAATTTTTAAAAATGCTATCTTATTTGGGAAGTTGCAGAAATAATAATAAATTTCAACTCTGAAATATATAAAATATTGGACTGAGAAAGTTACAAGTCTACATTTCAGTGAGCCAATGCTTAACAGGCAAAGAATACTTAATGGGAAGAACAACATATTTAACCTGATATAATGTAACTCAGGCTAAGTTTTCACAACAAGCTAATTAGACTGAAAGGCATTGGGAATTTCAGTGTGGGAATCCAGCAACTTATAAGAACTTAGTCACCATGTCCATTTGCTATAGAGTGTATTACTTAGATAAATTATGTTATTTGAACAGAGCATATGTGCTTTGCTGATATGAATTTAGTATGTTGTATGAACCCAATTCCTATATTCGTACTATAGATATATATTTTCCATGTATTGCATTGATATTTTTGCTTATCTTTTACCAAGGCTGATTATATAATTATCAGATGCAACTTGCCATTCTAATGCTGGAATGGACATGTTTTATTTACTAAATATGTACAGTAGCCTTGGGCGTTACTCTGGATACAGAAACTCTAACAGGAAAAGATCTTACTTACGTCACATAGTTCCAACTAAACTATCAACATAAAGCAGGAGTAAAAAAAACTCTACAGCATTCTGAATCATGCTTAAATCTCCACACATCATTTGTATATCAACATACTATTTCCTCAACATTTAGTGCAGTATGTTTCCCACATCAAATCAATAAAAGAATGCTTATTTAAACAGTTGCTGAAGGACAGAGTTAGGTATATTCTCTTCCTTGAATCTGTTCCTTCAGCCTGCCAAAAGAGTTCAGCTCCTGAGTCTTAGCTACAGATTCAGCTACCTAACCCTAACCCTTATGCTCTGTACCAATTATTTTACTAGATTGCCCATGGCATACTTTTCACATTTCAATGCCAATTGTTCTACAAACACTGAGACACCCTAAATTACCAATTGACAGAGAAAAATGAATAATACTCACCTTTATTCTCCATAGTTATATACTCTTGGTTCTGAAAAATAAATAAACAAAAAAACTTTTAACTAAACTATAGTATATTTCCAATAGGGTGCCTGTAAATCAGTTGCTAAAGAGGAAATGTTACACAATCTTAATGTCTCCATGTTTGTGCTTGAGAAAAATGTGTCTTATTTACTCTTTCGACAGACTGCATAATCTTTAAAGCACAATTATACCACCAAATGAAAAGGTTACGTTACAAAACTTCCTGTAATCCACTGTTTCCATTTTCAGCTTTGTTGTTACCAAGCAATGCAAGATTGGTTGAGAACAACATTAACTAAAAGAGTCTTGTGGAAAACCGGGACCTGAGTCTCCCGGCTTGGTTTCAGACCTCGTCCGGGGGCTGATTCATGAGTTGTCATATGAAGACACCATACCAGGTTTCCTCAGGATGAGATCAGCCCAGAATAGTCTCTGGGGACCTCTATTTATTAGCAATCATAACAAAGCAAATTGCAGGCAGAAGCTACAAGCAGGGGGGTGAACCGGGGGAGGCAAACAGGGAGTTTTGGAAGTTAGAGACAGAGAAAGTTTTACAAAATGTATCTTATCTATTACATGGCATAAGCGACTAACGGTTCACAGTAAAGTTGCAATTATGGTTCACATTGGAAGGTCTTATCAGGAAGCGATAATATAGTAGCTTGCATAGACAGTTCTTTTGACTTGTCTCTTTGTTCTCTGTTCTTAACGTGTGTTCAGCTGCTAATTGCAACCTAACACGTAAGCACTATTAAGCTTGCTGAAGGTTACAAAATGGAGTAACTTATGCTATATTCCAACAGAGTCTTCCCTGAGTTATAGTCTGAAAGTAGAAGGGAACTTGGGGACTGACAGACAAAGCTATCTGGCCCAGATCCAGTCAGTGTGGCTATATGCTTTTCAACTGCACAATCATTTACATGTGAAGATGGCTTTCCACAGAAGCTTAATTGTAGAACTTTTAGTAAATCATTCCTACGCCCATGCTTGGTTACCCTTTTATAAGCTGTTCTAGAATCTCTTTTATTTCTCCTCACCAAGATAGCTTTTTAATTTAATCAGGTTTTCCTGCAATTTGATTTGCAAGAGAAAACAACTGAGGGCACAGCTGTGTAAATCTAAATGAGACCAAATATTTACACATGGGGAAAGCCAAGATAAAGTGTAAGTCACGTGCTAGCATGGATCTTTTATTAGATGAATGAAGCTGTAACATGATTTCAATGCTATTTAAATTTCAATGCCATTTAAAATTGTTGTTGTTTGCCTTATACCTGTGAATAGACAATTACTAATTTTATTTGTTTCTTTACTTTTAGTTATCAAATGTAGAAATCAACCATCTCATTCAGAGAAGGACTCCGGGCTATGTGCAAATAAAATATTAAAACATAAAAACTGTATATAAAATGTAAAAGAGGTGAAAATGGTTAAAATTCAACATTAAAAGTTAATTAAAGGGTGGGGGAGGGCCTTTGGGGCACCAATCAGCCCCAGGGCAGCATGTTTCCCTATGAGCCTCAAGCAAGGCAACAGAACCAAGTCTTTTGACATTTCTGAAAAGGCCAGGAGAGTGGGGGTCTGTCTCATCTTTTGGGGGAGGAGAATGATCCACAGGCTGGAAGCAATGGCAGAGAAGGCTTCCTTCCTGGATCCCACCAGTCAGAATTCTTTAACTGACAAGGTTCACGGCATACTTTCCCTGCCTGACTGGGTGGGATGGATTGATATAATGGGGTGAAAACTGTTCTGAATACTCATTCTTATACCCATGCTTGGCTACACTTCTAGAAGCTGTTCTAGAATCTCTTTCTTCTAAATGAGATACTAATACTAATACTAATACTAATACTAATACTAATAATAATAATAATAATAATAATAATAATAATAATAATAATAATAATAATAATAATAATAATAATTTGATTAGCAAGAGAAAACTGATGGCACAGCTGGTGAATCTAAAAAAGACCAAATATTTACCTCGGGCAAAGCCAAGATAAAGTGTAAGTCACATGCTATCATAGATACTTTGTTAGATGAGCAGTGATTGGGTAGGATGGGCAAATATAACGGGGTGAAGGCAGTTCTGTATAATTATTCTTATACCCATGCTTGGTTACACGTCTGAGAAGGCTCTCAGAGAAGATTTTCTTCCTGTAACCCACCAGTTGAAATTCTTTAACTGAGCAGGCACGAAACCTGGCCCATGGATTAATAATAAACCAAAAATTCCAAGACTGTCCATATAATTAAAAGGAATAAACCTGACCTCAGAAGTCTTTTTTTCTTGGGGAAAAAAGAAAGAAATTAAAACAACAACAACAGCAAGGCCTTACTTCTTTTCCAACATATTTACAGAGAAATTTCTGAAAGGTCATCTGTACCCTGCTTTAGACTGTGCAGTATGAACAATAAAATTCACCATCTTCTTCTAATGTTGCAGCATGTTACTGATGACTAGTACATAGACACATTTATACGTTGACTTTGTAATGCAGATAGTAATTCCAAACAGATTTTAAACTATTTCCCTGTTGTTCTGTTTGTTCAATCCATACTACTGCTAAAGCCATTTTATGATGAGTGATTTAATTTCTGTCTTGTAAACCTAACATGAAATTGTCAAGTGAAAGTTCAAATGAAATGAAAGGAAGTGAAAGCTAGAACAAGAGTGCCTCCTAGTTCAGTGAGGAATTTCCCTTTACAAAAGCCAGAAGGCAGAAAATCAAAAAGTCAGGCAGCTATTTGGTTTGCAGGGTTGGAACCCAATGAATAAATGTTACATGAGGAACTGACAAGCAGAATCAGTTCAACATTCTAAAATGACCAAGAAAGGAAAACCACATCGTAGTGCAAGAGTAGGTTTAAAAGAGAAGCCAAGCATGTAATTTATTATTCTATTGTATTCATATTTATCCCAAGGAAGGTTTCATACCATCTGATGCCTGGTCAACTGCCATTCTATAATTATCTTCCTAAAAAGCTAGACACAGAGCCACACAAAAGCACAACTGCAGTAGGTCTAGACTGTTTAGCTTTAATCTTTAACTGGTTATGGAAAATCTGGACTATTAAAACATGGAATGAGATAAAGGAAAAAAATGGAAGTGAAAAAACATTCCAGTGAAATTGTGTCCTATTACAGGCTTCAGTAGTGCTGAAGCAGCAAAATGGTATCAACATGGGACCAAGCCCTTGATCACTTCCAAGAGGAACACAGAAGAATTTGGAAGTCAGCATTCATTGCCTATATATAGAAGTAAAAGGAAAGGGAAATCCCAAGGAAAAAAAGTGCTGCCTATTACTGAAGTTTGATGACTCTGATCTATTTTAGTTCTTTTAAAAACAACATAAAAAGTGTTATTCTATCTGGGTTACAAGAGAATGGGGTGCAGGAGGAACTGGAAAGAAAGAAGCAGGCAGTCCTTCCGCTAAACCCGCCTCCTTCTAGCTGCTGTCCAATAACTGTAAACAATTTTCTCACCAGCTGGTGGTTTACAGGAAAAGGACAGTGAAGCCAGAAGGGCAGCTTTGCTTATCAATGTGCTGTATAATCCAGACAGCACCATTCAGCAGAGATGCAATGGATAAAATAAAGGCACATTAGAAACTGACAATAGGCAAAGCAAATTTTATAGCTGTAGAGTTGTGTACATCTTAAAGAATATGGCAGACGCCACTCAATACTACAAAGATGCCCAAAGCTAACAGATGTCATGAGATGCGGGTCTAAGGTGGGGAAATGCTATATTAACAGTAGAACAGCTATAATTCATCCTGGATTGGAAGGGGAACAAGATGAACACAATACCATGGGAACATGGCAGAGAAAAATCTAGTTCCAGGTGGTGTCTGAGTTGTGATTTGGTTCAGGTGGATAAGCATAGAAGCCAAAATCTTAGGGACCTATGGTGAGCCCTTTTAGGTGACCATTTTGTCTCTTTCTTCACTTCCTTCACTGTAAGGCAACCTACAGTAGCTATCTGGGAGAAAGGCCCAAGGCAGTTCCAGAGGGCGCAGCTAGGCAAAACGCTATAGCCCCCCTGCACCGAATACAGGGCAGGGATGATGAGCCTGAGGCACGCAGCATAGTATCCCATGTTGCCCTGGCAAAGCCAGACACACCTAAGCTCTCACTCGTCTCAATCCTATGCATCAAGTTCGGTCTACACAAATCTTTAAAAAAAGTACCGTAAGGAATCAGCTTTATCACTATTCTTTCAAGATCGAGCCGACAGAACGGGAGGAAAAAATAGCGGAAACAACGAAACCGAAACCATTTCGAGAATAGCTTTCGTTTCTTCTGGTCTTTACGTCCTAAATTCTCCAGGCGAGGAAAAGCAACTTACCTTAGCTGGAAAATAACCAGGCTCTAGGAAATATCCATCTACTAGATGCCCGATTCTACCACGAGAATACCGAACATGGCCAGGCTAAAGTTTTTTCGCAATCAGTTGTGCGTTGCCCCCTCCCCCCCACTCCGTATGTTTATCTTCCCCATCATTTGGACAGCCGCCCTCCAGCATCCGCTTCTGCTCGATTCATTACCTTGACCTGAACGCCTTTCAGAACCTTCCTTTACTATAAAGGCGCAGCAGGAGAAGAGGCAGAACAGCCAACTGGAGAGTCCTAGATGAACTTCCTTGGGTCCAAAACGCTGGAAACCAAACACCCAAGAGCACCGGAGGGGTGTGTGTGTGTGACTTTCTTCTGAATAAATGCACGACGTAGGATCACGTGTTAGCCCTGCATCTTAGGCAAAAACACCCAGCTGGCATTGTAACAGGGAAGCCCTTCCTTTAGAAACCGGTCTGAAGACTGAAGACGATCCTGGGAGGAGAAGAGGGAGAAAAGAGGGAATGAATCCCAACGAGCTATGAAGTGGAATATTTAACTCCAAAAACGAGGATTATCCAACTTTGTGGACGGTTGCCGTCTAACTTTATTGAGAAAGAAGTCTCACTATTGTTGACCAGCTTTCTTTCTGACGTTTGGCATTTCCGGCGCCGAGCTCGACTCAGCCCTATTCTTATCTTATCGCCAGAAGGGAAATAATTTACCATTGCCGTCTTTCTGGATATATTTTCAACTTCCCTGTTGGGGAGTGGAAATTCCCAAAAGAAGTTAACTCTCCGTTCATTGTCCAAAGAGTAGGGCTTACTAGAAGCTCCTTATGGACTTTTTTTTTTACTGAAAACAAGAAAAAAAATGAACTTATAATTTAGGGATTTGATGATTCGAAAAGAAAAACTAAGGAAAAGAAGGAAATTATGTAGTAACCTTAGAGAGAGGGGTTAATATATAAATGTAGCTGCTGATAAGATCAGAAGCTGCTCCTCTATAACTTTTTTCCTCTCTTTTTCTTTTAACTTTTCACTTATTTTCACTTATTGCCTTATTTTATTTTTTTTCTTTCAAAAGTTGTACTGTTTCTTCTATTAATATATTGTTATATATTATTTATATATATTATTTTAAGAGCTTTTTAAAACACTAAAACCAATATTAATTTTGAAATAAATAAATATGGAGACCGTAGAACCCCCAAATCTGACCTGCCAAAAGTCAATAGGGAAGTCAGATTCACTTAACCATGTTACTAACTTAACAACTGCAATAATTCACTTAATAACTATGGCAAGAAAGGTTGTAAAAATGAGGCAGAAGTCTCTTAACAAATGTTTCACTCAGCAACAGAAATTTTGGGCTCAGTTGTGGTTGTAACTCAAGGATTATCTGTATTTGCTGTCTGGTTATGGTAGCTTTCTTGAAAGTAAAATAATGTCCATTTACTTTCGCAAAGGGATGGGGCAAAAGAACTACAAAAATCTAATTTATATGGTGTCATCCAGTAGTGAAGCTGCAATAAAGAAAGACCCCTCTGCAGGAAGGTCTCTGTGTATGTGTATTCTGGGAGATGAAATCCCAGAACATCAGACAACTGTTCAATTGAGGTTGATTTGTATCCATGTTTCATACGGTTTAAGACTCCCATGTGTTAAGCTTTCACTTCTAGAATCTGGGATTACAAAACACTCAAACTAAAGATGAGTTAAAAATTGTACTTTGCAATGTCCAAATGATGGGACAGAGTGCAAACAAATATGATGTAGTAGCTGCTAGTTTTATTTGGGCCTGCAAACCTGCTTCGTCATCACAATGTTTATTTTATTAAAAGATTGGATGGGGCAGATCTGACAGAGACTAAATAAAGTTGAACATAGCATTATCTACCTCTTTCCTAGAAAATGGAAAAAGTTCAATTAAGTGCAACACCTGAGGGAAAGTGATGCCAAGTTACCATTTTTCTGAAATGTGGGACTCCTCTCTAGGATATGTGTGATAGTCAGGATAAAATATTTTAAAAATATGTTTAAAAGTTATTTAACTTCTATTCTGTTCTGTTCCGTTCCATTCCATATTCATGTATATGTCCCACAGATAATGTAAACAATATTCAAGGAAAGAAAATGAGAGTAGAATGCAGGATTTGACATAGCAAGATGAATAAATTAAGTTATATAAATTAGCTGATAAAGACTGCCAGGCCCTTTGTTCAGTTTACCTAGCTGCAAATAGTGTGTGCCTTGGTTTAGTAATTATTTATATCTGTCAACAAGAAAAAATTGATAGAGACACACCAAACTATTTCCTTTGTTGAAATCTGTTTATTTCTACAATGTGCTATTGCAGTTTAGTTAACATAGAACCAAGAGACATATATCCACTTTGTGATATGGCTCTTACTGAGAACTGCAGCAACATTTCTTTAAATTAAAGGGGAGAAGGAGAGCTATATTTGAGAGACTGACTAAGTGCCATCTGCTCAGTGTCAATTCTTAGGGACTAGATAGATATAGTTTTTCAAGGATAAAATTTTACGGGTCATTTAGGACTTCCAACAATGTATTGATCATCACTAAATTAAATCCATCCATCTTGATGCTGGTCATCCTCTTCTCTTTCCTTAACATTATAGATTGCTCTAGAAAGCTATGTTGTTGCACAATGTGTCCAAAGTAGAATAATCTGAGCCCAGATACTGTGCTTTGAATGAGAACTCTAGGTTGATTTGTTCACTAATCCATCAGTTCTCTTAGCTATCCATAGTGTGCTCAAGAATCGTTTCCAACACCAAACTTCAAAAGCATTACTACTCTTCATAATTTGCTTCTTCAAAGTCAAAATTCTTCCTGTATGATTCTGATCTTTATAAGTATAGACACAGCATGGCATGTAAACCTTCATAGCTACTTTAAACAAGTGTTTGTGGCATATTTTTGACTGTTGATAGGCAATCCTAAAAGGCAGAAGATATTCATTACTTCAATGTATTGATTGTCAGTTCCGAGGCTGGTTATTACTGAAGACGTGTTGCCATCATTTTAGTGGTCTTGATGTTTAATCTTAGTCCTAGTTAGTCCCACTATGCTCCTTGATTCTAGAGTTCATTTGCATTTTCAATCATCTAAGTTGTATCATCAATGTAGTGCAGGTTATTGGTGTTTTCTCCTTCAGTTTTAAAGCTGTGCTCATTTTCTTCCAATCCAGCCATTGATAGAGATAAAACACATTTACAAAGCATTCAAAAGATACAATTGAAAACCGAGTAAAGAAAAAGACTAAAATAAAATAAAAATAAAAAGACATCCTCATCCAGTGGTCAACATGCAAATAAACAGGGATAAACACCAGATAAACAATCAAACGGGAAGCAATGTCCAGTCATAATACAACCAAGGAGGAAACCATACCTTCACCAACTCTTGCAGTGCAAACTACTATATAAACAAAAGGCTACAAACCTCACCCTCATTTACCTAGTTGAACAATGAATATCTGGAAGCAAATCCCCAAGAATTCCACATTAATCCTCTGAAAGATCTTCAGGTCTTCCTCTGTATCATGTTGAATGCCATCTGACATGTGCAGTGCAGAGAAACAGTTGAGTGCCATCTGACATGTGGGGTGCAGAGAAACAGAGAGATGACTTTGAAGACCATAGCCAAGAACTATTTTATAAGCAAAGAATACCGAAATATTTGGAAGAGATTCAGACTTCTTCCTGATTCATTGCGATATAAGAGGGAATAAAGAACAATCAGGCTTGTGAGGTTTTATAATTATATCCTGTTAAGTTTGTTTCCTGATCTGGTCTGCCCCCAAAATCTGACAGAGGCAAAAATGTGGTATACTCATTAAATTTGGAGACATAGTGTTTGCCTTTTAAATGTGTTTGTGGTAGCCCATTTTTGGTCCTGTCTTATGCGTTAGCATTTCCCCAAATCTAGATAATTGGGTTTTATTCAATAAACTGTTCCAACTTGGGAACTAGTTCAAAATCATAGTGCACCCATTAGAACAACCAGTTTTTCCTCCATTTTTAATTCTCATAATTTCCAATGAGCTTTATACCTCCTATGCATCAGATTGTGTTGTAAAACTGATTCCAAGGATATTTTCAAAGGGAAATAAATTATTACATCTCTGAAAAAGGAAGAGGTTAAAGAAAAATCCTTCTTGCATCATTATGAGTGACAGTCAAGAATGCAAAAGAGAAGAGGATATTGCTACAATTAAGCAATAAAATAAAAACCATACCTAAAGTTTCCTTCTGCTTAATAAGCGCATGAGCAATGGACATTGTACAACAGTCAGTGCAGCTATTATCTGTTAAATACCATCCAGATGACAATATCACCTGTTTTTTTATTATTATATTACTGCTTTTTTTAAAAAAAATAGAAACTGGAAAAAGAGTAAACAGTACAGGGAGTCAGCATATTTTGTATGATGAAAGAGGAGGTTTGAGAAGACATAGAAACCTTGAAGGTGTTTAGGTTCAGGCCCATACCCAAGACAGGAAACATACTATCCCAGACAAATTGATGTCTAATCTTTTCTTGAAAACCTCCAGTTATGGAGCACCCACAACTTTGGGAAGCAAGCTGTTCCACTGATAAATTGTTCTTATTTCTGCTTAGATCCAGATTTGATCTGTCTTCCCAACTGTTTGCATAATTCTGACAACCATAATAACAATTTCTAAAGATGGAGTTAATATTTATTGCTATGGCTGCAAATAATAAATTGTTCTTCAAGTTTATATTGGCTTACAAATTTACAAGTTTAAAAACTTTAAACCTTAACTCTTAAAATTTAGTTTCAGCTTTCTTAAAGTTGCCATGGTTGAGAAACACTGGCTTACAATGATGTACTAAAATCTTTTCCACAAGATTAAATTATTTTGTTCTCTTATTCTTGATTCAAGATCTTTTGATACATACTTCTTACTGGATTTTTATACCTAGTACCTTCTTATCCAATTGAGTAATTTCCATGCTAACTAATATTAGCAGACTGTCATATGCTAAAATAAATAAAGATTTATTTTTAAGAGTAAACGAACTCACGTTCATGATTCAGGTCTCCACCCTAATTAGCCTCATTGTCAAATGCCAGCCTTTGGGTTCATTTTGCATTCAGTTTTTCATCTGCCTGCTGCTGCTACCCTTCACCAATGAACAATTCTCTCTAAGACTGGAATGGACAAGCTGGAGACATAAAATTCCCCAGTGGCTACTAAAAAGAAGTTTCATTGGACTGAAACAATTAATATTAGCTTGCACATTCATCCTGGGCTTTAAACCATAGTTGACATATCACACAATCATGATATACCTCTGAATAAACAGA